ATTTTAATTGAGTTCACAAACAATGTGTAGAAACAACATTAAAGAAATCAAATGGGGGGGGAAATAAAAAGAAATCCAATGACCTATTACATTGAGCAAATCTACCGCAAACGTTAAATGTTCAAAATATTAAAAAGCAAAGATGTGATTTTTGAGGATTAAAGTTTGCCAGACCCAAGTTTTGGTATTTTTTTGAATTCTCTTAATGCTGGGCAGCAAATAAGGAAGACTAAAGAATTGAGGCGTTTGCATTATTGTGTTGATGGGGAATATTGAATTTATTGTGGGTTGCCTAAAGGACTCCTACATCTGTTTTGGAAGAACAATATCCAGATGCTTCTTAGAAACAAAGATGTGACGCTTTATTTCACTTATTTAGGGCCTGTTCTTAGGAGCTACCAGTCCATGGAGAAGGACGTTATGCGTGACTAAGTAGAAGGTCAGCAAAAAAAAAGAGGAGGACCTTTAAAGACATGGACTGACACAGTAGCTGCAGAAATGAGCTCAGAGAGAGCAACACTGGAGAGGTGACAGGCTTGCTAGAAATCACAGCTGATTGCATGGCGTCTGCTACTGTTGACTGCCAACCCAAAGGGGCCTGGTTCGAATCTACCAGCTGCTCTGAAGAAGAAAGATGGGCAGTCTCCGCCCGTGCAATTTCTTGCCTTTGAAAACTTGCTGGAGGGTCAGCTCCCCGTGGTTCTGACTCCATGGTTCACAGTCACAGCAGCAACAGTAAAAGCAGTAGGTTTTCAGAAATAAGTCACACAATCTTTCTTTCACAGTGTCGTGCTAACCCTCTTTAACTTTTTCACTTTGAAACCAAATGCTTAATTGTTTCTTCCACTTAGGGATGGATGCCTGGTTGCTATTGCATGGCATCACATTGACTCTATTCTAGCTGGAGCCACATGTCACTGTTGTTGTTGTGGTTGTTAAGTGCGGTCGAGTTGCAGGCGACTCATAGCGACCCTATGAAGGAGAGTCCTAGATACTTGGGTGCCATTCATCCTCTCTCCAGGTTCATAGAGTTTCCGGAGGCAAGCTATTATGGAAGTGGATGCCACTCCTCCTTCCAAGCTTGTTTTAATTGGGGAGCTCCACCCTACTCTTTGCCTGCGTTGGGTAACCAGTGATTAACGCATTTGACATATCAGTGTCACAGTGTTCAACCTCACAGCAACCACAAGTCACCGCTGTACAGCAACTTGTACACGACCTAGAGGAATGTCTGAACAAAAACAATGAAAGACTGGCCGAGGGCCGCGGATTAAAAGTCACCCACCTTTAGCTTGGTAGCATCACTTTCTGTACAATGGGCCAGCTGATCTCTTTCTATGTTGATATTATTGTTGTTAAGTGCCGTCGAGTCACAGGCAACTCATAGCGACCCTATGAAGGAGAGTCCTTGACACTTGGGTGCCTTTAATCCTTTCTCCAGGTTCGTAGGGTTTCCCGAGGCAAGCTATTACAGAAGTGGATGCCACTCCTGCTTCCAAGCTTGTTTTAATCGGGGAGCTCCACCCCACTCTCTGTCCGCATTGGGTAACCAGCCATAGGGTGACAGATATGTAATGCAGGTTCCAAGAAGGCTGATGTTATCACACTGCAGAGGAAGACGCGTTGTTGGTCCTGTCATCACTGCTCGCACCAACATTCCTGAGACCTCCCTTACCTGTTCTGAGCCTTGTTATCCATGCAGGTAACCAGTGGGTGCTCCTAGGTCTCCTTCACTGGACTCATTCAGGCCCTAAGAAGCCGTAGTTGCCCCATCAGCCTATGAGAGGGATGGAGGTTGGAGGGGGTGGCTGCTCCCTCTCCACTTTGGGATGCTGATGCTGAAGGCTCTGTTACCGGCACATGGACCACCAGTTCTCCTCTGGGGAGGGGAATATGAGATTACACCCTGGACAACGAGTGTGTTGTTGCCATGGACTGGATTTTGACGCACAGTAACCCACAACATGTTGTTGTTGTGTATTGTCAAGTCAGAACTGACCCGTAGCTGACCCTCTGGACGGCTTTCCGAAGCAGTTAATTGCACCAGAGGAAGTTGCCCGGCTCCTCACATATCGCGTGCATTTTTCACTTCCGCGCTGCTTACAGGGCAATGCTCCTGTCTGAGGTTTGGCTTCTGTCGGAGTGATAGAAGCTTCTGCTTCCCCGGGGACCCTGTGTTTTGTGGCTTTTCATTCTGCCTTCACATCTCTTTCCTGAATCAGTGAACACAGAACTGGGGGAGGTCGGCAGAGGGAGGAAGTCAGGAGACAAAGCAAATAGGAGAAAGAGCTAAACAGTTTCTCATTTCTTTTACTACCTCTGTTTGTGGAACACCTGTGGATCAAAGACTGGCTGGGCTTGCAATCCACACTCGACGTGAACAGAACACTGTTACCAGCACAAAGGACATCACTGTGTGCATTAGACAAAGGCACACGCTTTATCACACAGGGAGGGGGAGGAAAGTACTCTGATCCATGCCTCCTCCTCATCCAAACTAATTCAAAACAAATCATAAACTAAGTAGTTGTTGTTGTTGTTGTTTGCCATAAAATCACTTGCGACTCATAGTGACCCTATGTACAATAGCTCTGGACCCTGCTCTTTCCTGAGCCAACCTTCATTGTCTGCCACACCTACTCCCATTACCCCAGTCACTGTGTCAATCCACCTCATCCAAGTTCTTCCTCTCCTGTGCTGTCTCTCCATCCTTCCAAGCATGATGTCCCTCTTTCCAAGGACTGGTTCCTCCTTGTAGCATGTTCAAAGTATGTCAGATGGAGCTTCAGAGTCCTTGCCTCCCAGGAGCAGCCTGGTCTCACCCTCTCTGGGATGAACTTGTTTGTTTTCCTAGCAGTCCATGGTGTACTCAGTACTCTTCTCCAGCACCACAGCTCAAAGGCATCAATGCTTCTATAATCCCTAGTCATTGTCCTGCTTTCTGATGCAGAGCACATAATTGCAAAGACCATGGATCAGGTGCACCTTAGTCTCCAGATTGACATTGTTGCTCTTCAGTATTCGGGAGAGGTCTCTGACAGTAGACTTTCCCAATGTAATTTTTTTTTTAATTTTCTGGCTGCTGGTACCAAGTGTGTTGCTTGTTAGAGGGGGAAAATATAATGTGGTGTTTGTTTTGATAACTATTTCTTAGATATGACACCAAAAGAAAGACTCATGGAAGAAATAAAAACTTAGGAATTTAACCTCAATTAAAAAACTTGTACTTTTGTAAAAACATTGATGAGTGAATGAAAGACAATGAATGGGAGACAATGTATGTGTGCAAGTTATCTGCCTGATTAAGGGTGTGTGATTAGACTATGAAAAGAACTCTAAAAACACAATAATAAACAACCCAAATTCCAAAGAGAAGAATGATTAGAACAGATATTTTTACCACAGAGGATATATGAATGCCAAACAAACAATAAGATGTTCAAGATCACTTGTTATTGTTGTGTACTATAGAGTCAGAAATGACGCATAGCTGACTTGTCAGTGAATTTTCAGAGCCAGTTAAGCACATGGGAAGAGATCGCCCATCTTTCTTCTGTACATCAGCTGGTGTATTTAAACCGTGTATCATTGGGTGGGCAGTGCAGTTCTTGACCCCAAATACTACTGTTGTTATTGTTGTGTACCACAGAGTAAGAAATGACCCAGCTGACCCTTCAGCGGGTTTTCAGAGGCAGGCAGTCACAGAGGAGGAGATTGTCCATCCTTCTCCCATAGAGCAGCTGGTGGCCTCGAACCAGGTGCCTGTACTACCACTATTACTGTAATGCCATACTACTATACAATTATTACCACTACTGAAACCAAATACACTATTGAATTGAACCAACTCATAGCTATTATCTATTGGGTTTTTGTTGGGTTTTTTTTGGATTTTATTTTTTAGGCTATACGTAGAAATACTTTTCTCCAACACCACAACTCAAAGGCCTCAATTCTTCTTCTGTTATCCTTAGTCATTACCCCAGCTCTCCGATGCATAGAGCATTTCATTGCAAAGACCATGGCCTGGATCAGGTGCACCTTGGTTTCTACACTGATATTGTTGCTTCTCAGTACTCTGGAGAAGTCCCTGACAGCAAATTTTCCCAATGCAATTCATCTTTTGATTTCCTGACTGCTGATGCCAAGAGTGTTGATTGTGGGGACGAGCAAGCTATAACTGTTAACAACCTCAATCTTTTCTCCATCTATCATGGTGCTGCCAGTTGGTCCAGTGGTGAAAATCTTTGTCTTCTTGATACTGAGCTTCAATTCATTTTGAAGATGACAGTGAATGACTTTTATGACAAAAGAAGAATTGATGCCTTTGAGTGGTGCTGGAAAAGAGTCTGGAACATACCATGGTCCACCAAGAGAACAAACAGGTCTGTTTTGGAGAGGATGAAACCAAGTTTCTCCTCGGATGCTAGGATTTTAAAGCTCTGTCTCACATACTTTGGGCATGTGGCCAGGAGAGACCAGACCTTGTAAAAGGATATCATGCTCGGAAGGGTGTAGGGACAGGGCAGGAGAGGAAGGCCCTGGATGAGATGGATTGATACAGCAACTGGGATAATAGGAGTAGGTGTGTCAGAGTCAGTGAGACTGGCTCAGGACAGGGCAGGGTTCAGAGCCGTCATATATAGGGTCACTGTGAGTCACAGTTGAATCGATGGCACGTAACAACGACATAGAAGTACGCATATAAATTTCTTTATGGGGGAGGGGAGAATGCCTGTCTTTCTCTTAATGGAGCAACTGGTGGATTCAAGTCACTGAAGCTAGGTCTCAGTGGATATGGTGATGTGTGGGCAGGTGATTCCATCCCACAGAGGTGACGTGAGGTCATTCAGGGAAAGAACATCCAACTTAGTGGTGTCGGGACACCCGAGTGTGGCATTCAGTTTTGCTACGTTCTGTGCATCGCTGGTTGACCTCTTTTTTGCTCTGAACCGTGCACTCTGAATCAGAAATGGGAGGTGGCCAAGGCTCCTTCCAACATGGGCCCGTGACTGTTGTAAAGCAAATGACTTCATGAACATGCAAGCAATGTCTCATCAAGTTTTTCCTCTTTTTTCATCCACAGAAACTTTAATGGACACCAGGACAGCTACCGCAGAGCTGGGCTGGACGGCTAATCCGGCTTCAGGGGTGAGTATCAGGCCATAGGTCCTGCTGTGTCGTCCTTGGCACGGTCCTTCCAGGAAGCTGCCCCCGGACCACCACCGCCATGTGTGTATAGGATGGGGGTGGAGGTAAATAGGACAGTGACTGCCCAAAGCTAGGCCAGCCGCCCCGGGGCAGAGCAGAGATCTGAGATGCCCATGGTGCTGTAATGAAGGCAAAGGTAGAGGATGGATGCCAGCAGTGGTTGCTGTGTTGGGTACCACAGAGTCATGACTCACAGCTGCTCCTCCAGTGGATTTACAGAGGCTATAAATCACACAGGAAAAGATTGCCCATCTTTCCACTGCAGTGCAGCTGATGGGTTTGAACTACATACCTTTGGGTGGGCAGTGCAAGTTCTTACCACTAAGCCATGTATCAGTGTCTGTTGTTGTTAGGTTCCATTGAGATGAGCAAGACTCATATTGACCCTCTGAACAACAGATCTGAACTCTGTCCTGTCCCCTGCCATCTCCACAGTCTCTGATGCACTCAATCCCCTTGCCCCAGTCACAGTGTCAATCCACCTGGTTGAGAATCTTCCTCTCCTTCATCATCCTCCCACCTTTCCAAGCATAATATCAACTGTTGTTGTTGTTGTTGTTGTGTACCAGAGAGTCAAAACCAAGCCATAGCTGACCCTCCAGCAGGTTTTCAGGGGCAGTTAATCTTGTGGGAGGAGATGGCCCATCCTTCTCCCGCAGAGCAGCTGGTGGATTCCAACCGAGTGCCTTCTGGATTGCAGCACTTGCTTCTTGCCACCAGGCCGCCAAAGTTCCTAATGAAGGGCTGAAATCCCTGCCTTGGTAGACCAGCAGCCTGATGAGGATGACCAGCTCTGGTGTCCTGAGAGGACCAAGGTCCTGTGACAAGGTCTCTGTGGGCATGGAGTGGCACAGGTGGCATTAAATTCTTCCTCTGCCCTCAGTCCCCTGTCCCAGAAAGCCATGTTTCCTGTTTTCCAGAAGGGGAAAGATAGATAATTCTTCTCTCTCTTAAACACATGTCTCAGGTGAAGGCAGACTCCCCCTGAAAGCTTTTCTAAAGAGCCAAAGCTCTTTCACTGGCAATCTGTGTTAAAAGATGCTCATTAATCTACTCATTGTTCATGCACCTGGCAACACACAATGACAGAAGGCCTCGGACCGCTTATGGTGGGCAGACATGCTAATGAGATACAGCTCTGGTAGGCTAGTGGCAAGAGGCTGTCCTGCAATCCCAAAGGCGTGTGGTTCGAGGCCACCAGCTGCTCCATGGGAGAAGAATGGACAAGCTCCTCCTGTGAGATTAAACTGCCTCTGAAAACCCTCTGGAGGGTCAGCTATGGGTGGGTTCTGACTCTACAGTACAGAAAATAACAAAACAACGCGTATCCATTGAGGCTTAAGGCTGAAGTATATCTTTCTGTGGTGCAAATGGAGAGGTTTGGGGCAAAGGTGGGCACAAAAGTGGAAGACGGGAAGCTTTTAAAGAGAAAATATTCATGAGCCAATATATGATGGGTAAGGTGCGCCTGATACAGGCCATGGTCTTTGCCATCACTTGTTATGTGTCATAGAGTGGGTAGTGACTAGGGATGATAGAAGGAAAATTGATGCCTTTGAGCTGTGGTGTTGGAGAAGAGTATTGAGAGTACCATGGACTGCTAAGAGAACAGATAGTTTCATCCTGGAGAGGGTTAAGCCGGGCGGCTCCTTGGAGGCAAGGATTCTGAGGCTCCGTCTGACATACTTTGAACATGTTGCAAGGAGGGACCGGTCCTTGGAGAAGGACATCATGCTTGGTAGGGTGGTGGAACAGCGCAGGAGGGGAAGGCCCCCTATGAGGTGGATTGATTCAGTGACTGGGGTAATTGGAGTGGGTGTGTCAGAGACAGTGAGATTGGCACAGGACAGAGCAGGGTTTAGGGCTGTTGTACATAGGGTTGCTATGAGTCACAGGCGACTAGATGGCACATAACAACAACAACAAGAGTTTGGCAGGTGGTAAATAGGAGTCTAGAAAGACATTCTATGTGGAAGGACCAACAGGTATGAAGGGATGTGATCATGGGAAGACTTGAGGAATGAAGTCAACTTGGTACATTGCAGGCTGTAGACAATGCTCAGAGGAAGAAACTATGGAACTGACATTATCGTATAGACCATGGGGACAGCCTTGGCAGGAGATGAAACAATCTCATCTTGTGGCAGGAGTGTGGAAAACAATGAAGAGAAGGACCCTGGGGGTAGGGGTGGGGGGTCTGTCTGCTGTCTTGGTTGGGTCAGAAAGGTCAGGTTTTGTTTTCTCTCTCTCCTCTTTGTTAGAACATTGTAAAATTGAGAATCTGGAAGCCATTCTTTTCTTCTCCTTTGTTATTCCTCTGTCTTCAAGTCACTTGTCTCCTTCTATGAAATACTTCTCCAGAACCTACATCAGATCCCCCATTACAAGTCTTCGCAATGCCTAGAATCTCTGCTCTTCACTGATGTGACTTGATACCTCAATGCATTAATTGTTGTTGTTGTTGTTGTTGTTAAGTGCTGTCAAGTTGTAGACAACTCATAGCGACCCTATGAACGAAAGACCTGGACACTTGTATAACTTTCATCCTTTCTCCAGGTTCATAGGGTTTCAGGAGGCAAGCTATTTCAGAAGTGGATACCACTCCTGCTTTCAAGCTTGTTTGAATCAGGGAGTTCCACCAAACACTGTCCACCATGGGTAACCATTCTCGCATTGGACACATCAGTGTCACAGTGTTTAGCATCTTAGGCAAATTTTAGGTACTGAGACTATATTACTTTTGTGGTTCATAAATTAACAGCAAATTTCAAACTTTCTTGACCTTCAGAATCATCAACAACATCATAGGGAACACGTGAAAAAGGTAAGGGAGATTTACAAGATTAATGCAGGAAAAGATTAAAAAATGTTCCTAATTTTTAAAATACCAAGTTATGTTTTTAATATCCTACGTCCTACACGTCTAGCCAGCATTTCCCTCTTGTCAAAATATGTAGCGAAGTCACTGTCTAGGAAGTTTCACTGGAGTGGAAAGCATTCAATTTGAAAAGCAAGAGGCCAGGATGATGACATTTCACCTCACCTACTTTAGGAGTGTTTTCAGGAGAAGCTATTCCTATTTCATGCTTGGAAAGGTGGAAGACCAGTGGAAGAGGGAAAGCCCCTCAATGAGATGCAATGACAAGTGACTGCAGTAATAAGATCAAGTGTATCAGGGAGGAGAAGGCACAGGCTAGAACAGGGCTCAAGTCTGTTGCTCACAGCTCGTTGAGAGTTGTACTTGACCGCATTAATTAGTGTTTCATTTATTTTGACCTCTCTCCTCCTCCCTAGCCACAATATAAAAGCTCATGGTGACCACAACAATAATTAGCGTTTGTTTCCGCATTGGCCACCGGGGCCTGCTTCCCTGCCTGACACACAGCCAGTGCTCAATGTGTTTGCTGAGTGAAAAATCTGTTTAAGAGGAATATATGAATGGATGGATATTATTGTCCTGACAGGAGTCCAGAACGAAGGCTGCATAGTGAAGTGGACTTGTGGGGAGGGATTGCATAACAATGAAAGAATTTTTCTTTTACTTTTCAAGGAGAAGAGTGACTTGGGGGAGAGGGGGTGGGCAGGGAGAAAAGTGCAACAGTGATTGATTAGAAACCGTAAGTCTATGTAAACTTTCATTAAAATTAATTAAACTGGATGAAATAATGTTTACGGCATTGAAGTCTATGGGGGAGAGAATAGTCTAAAAGTATTATATTTTAGGGCATTATTTTTATCGTAGGAGTATGCAATGAGGGTTGCAGAGTGGATTATATTTGGGGGTGGGGGGTGGGGTTTGGGGAGGTGCGGGGGGGATTGTGTACCAGTGAGGGAGTTTTTCTTTTGCTTTTCAAGGAGAGGAGCAAAGGGGCGGGGGAGGGGTTTGTGGGGGGAGAAGGGTGCAACAATGAATGAATGGAATTCCAAAATCTCTGCAGATGTTCATTGAAATGAAAAATAAACAAACTAAATTAAAAAAAATTAATTAAAGGGAAAAAACTCCAGAAAACCTGAGAGTTTCTGGCTTAAATAAGCGGGTAGCTCTTTTTTTCTTTTTCTCTTTTAAAAAAATTTTAATTGATCTAATTAATGTTAACAATAATTCACTTACATTGTGCTTCATTAATATACATTGTATATTATACAGTTTTTTGTTTACAATGTGTTTCATACAATCACTCATATACGTTGTATTTTATAATTACCACTCACTGATCTATGCCTATTATTACAGTATCTTTTTTTTTTGAGAAATTTTTAAGTTTATTTAGCACAGTCTATGTGGTTTGCCCCTCAATGCCATTTTTGCAGATGAATGACCTAGAAGGAGGATTAGGCTTGGAAGGGAAAAGCCTGAGTTCAGTTCTGGAGCCGATGAGTTTGATGTGCTTCTGGGGCATCTACGGCAGGTATGCTACCATCATTTGACTTAGCTGTAAATGGAATCCAAAGACAAGTCACATCTGTGAGGCCAGGGAGAGGCTGCAGCCTCTCAGGGGCGCATCTGGAGTGAGAAGAAAGGCACTTGGATGGATCTTTGGGGTCAACTAGAGAGCGAGCCTAAAGTGGAGACTGGGGGCGGGAGGAGGGCTGGGAAGTGGGAGTGGACTCAGAGAGGCACCTGTTACGGAGGCCACGGGAAGAATGTGTCAAGAGAGAGGAAGTTACAAGTGTGTAGATGCTGCGTGGTTTAGTGACAGGGATTCACAAATGACCTGCGTGAATGGAATCTGGAAAACAGAGTTTGTGGAGTCAGGAGGTGCTGAGGGGTGCGTGGGAGGGAGCAGTGTGTAGAGAGGAGGCAAGAGATGATGAGAGCAGTGAGGCTGTAAAATTGTCTTTCTTTCTGGAGGAACAGACAGCTTTTTCCCCCCTGTCAAAATAGGAGGGCAGAGAGAAGGCATGCGTACAGATAGATGACAGGACTCAGGGTGGGTGAT